CCCCAAAACCCCAAAACCCCAAAACCCCAAAACCCCAAAACCCCTTTTGCTAATTCAAAGCTTGAAATTCTTTTGAATTACTACTCATCATCAGAATCAGTGAGGGCGTAGACCTCATTCTCTACATCTTGGTTGAAGATGTACTTCTTCCTCTTCAACCCGTAGATATCGAAGATGGATACCTGAGAGCAGGACAGCTCTCTGTAGAAGTTTATGTAGAATGAAGCTACTGTTTCTGGTCTTTGAAGCTTGTAGATATCCATCGCTTGGTCATCTAGTTTGAGAGCTATTTCGTACATTTCATTTCTGCATCTAAGTAAGTTTCTAATAACTTCTTTAGTCTTGATAAGAAGTCCTTGCCATATTGGGCTGCTCCTTCTCATATACTCTAATTCCTTCTTATCCAAGCGCAACAAGGCATACATTGTATCAAGAGGTGAGAATCCTTTTTCCTTCGAGTAATGCAATATTTCTTGTCTTGATAACTTTTTCATATAAGTATGCTCTCTTTTTGAAGCTTTCTCTTCAAACTGAGTAATATAGCATAAGTACCCAACTTGTTGAGGCATTGCTCATTTAATGATCAACTTAAAGGCAGTTTTGAGTAGCTATAGTAAATATTTAGCTTTAAGAATCTAATAAAAGACGTATATCATTCTTACTTTTCTTCTGACTGTCCCAATAGGTCCAATATTTGTGCCAACACTATCCATAATCCTACTCCATTGCTCTATACACATATTCTCAGGGTTGCTACATTCATTCAGCTTTTCCTTAAAATACGCCTCTGTTTCCTTGAAATCTCTCAGAACAGTCTCTAGCTGGGAGTCTTTATCCTTAGTGATATCCGAGACTTTGAGAAGGTGTTTGTACTGGTCAAGCTCCATGGAAAGTTTCATGACTTTGTTCTCAAGGAAATCTATCTTCTGTTCAAGCTCTTTAATGTAGTTATTCTTGCGATTTCTACTCTCTTTAGCAAAGATTTTGTTCCTCTCTTTTCTATCCTTTGGCAATTCTCTGCTTGTACTAGAGGTCCTTGGTTTTCTCGGAAGCATAGGCCCCAATGGAAGAGATCCTAGAAAATTTTGAGGCATATCTCCTTTTATAGTCTTTAGCTCTTCTTTGCACTTTCTTTTTGCTTGAAGACTATACATAATTTTCTTGATAAATTCGGAGTTTGATTGATAGAAACCTGGAAACCATAGTTAAAAGAATTTTAAAAATAAGTAGTTGAATTCAGAATAAAAGCCTGAATCTTCTTTAATGCAACCTGATTCTGTTCTTTTTTGTTTTGAAAGCATAGAGCTCCAAAAATAATTTTCTAATATTTTCTACCAAAAACTTTGATAAAAATTTCTGGATACTAAAAATTTGAATATCTCTAATCAAGTCAAGTAAGATATCTCATGCTAAATATTTTAACGAAATTTGTGTGCAATCTCTTATCTCACAAATGATTGAAATAAAAGCTGACCTCAGTTGAATTATGAGGCCAAAATCTGTGATGGCCTCTAAATTAGAAACCTCATTATTAATTCAAATCCTTGATCCAAATTAACTAATGAGGAAAGCTAATTTATGCTCTGATTTCTAAAGAAAGGATTTCTAAAAGTAATGGAGCCAAATCTAACTCTAAAGAGCATTGCTGATGACAATATGATATCTGAATCTTTGTTTTACTACAAAATAGTTGTCTATACACTGAAGAGGTACAAAATTGCACCTCTGTTAGAAACTTTACAGCTTATCCTGATAATTTCCTAATATTCATCTTAAGGGGTATAAACATAATTCTAATGATTATGGTAATTTAACTACAGGCGGATTAATCGCATTTAGAATACAAGAATAATGGAATCGGGATAGGTACTGAAGAACATTCTTAAGTTCCTTTCACCTAAGTTTCAAATATTTTTTGTGAAAATGGATAGAGGAAATTTCAAGTTTAAATGCCTTCTAGAATCATTCTATTGAATAATTAATCTAAACTTGCAACCAAGCTAAGAATGATGTTCCTTGGGTTAATATTGGTGGATGAAGGCTACTTTTGCTTTCACAAAGACCAATAGTCTGGTCCTCAATGCATTATATTGGGAATATCCTAAAAATCTAACACATTATTCCGGGAAAGATACTTATTGTTGTTTAAATAGCCTGTATCTTAAAATTAAGCCAGAAAATTAATAAATTTGAGCAACTACTTTTTCATAAGGATAGTAAGTCTTTTAGCTGATCATTAGATATAAAATTATGATAAAATTCTTTAAAGGAAACATTGATTATGAGGAATGAAACTTTTGTCCTAACATATTGATCAATATTGCCATTGAGTGTTATGATTACCCAAACTCAAGAGTCTGTATGGCAAAACCAAGTAGTTTCAAAGTGCACTCCTCCAAGCCAGAGCATTTGAGAAATATAGCTATATTTAATGAAAGAATAAAAGATAAGAGCGGTTTATGCCAGAGTAAATAAAATTGTTAAATCAACTATGATTTATTAACTATTGTCTAAATAAAGTATCATACTTACTTCAAACTAAGCTGAGGCTCTTCAGTTGCCTTTTCTGGGATAGGAAGTAAGAACTTCTCCTGATTCACATCCATCTTGACCTATTTTCTATTAAATTTAAATAATATTACCACGATTTTCCAATCTTCGTGCCACGTAGTGGGGTTTTGGGGTTTTGGGGTTTTGGGGTTTTGGGGTTTTGGGGTTTTGGGG